GTCTGTACTTCAATATAATCTTTGACTCTACAAAAAGTAGTGAAAGACTTGTTTGGTAAATATCCTGGAACCATAGGTGACTTATTTAGGAAAATAGAAACTTATAGCCTCTTTTCAGAAGCTTGATCTCAGAACTGCAGCTGAGTAATTCCAGATGGGATTAAAAAGTTAAGAGAAAACCAGGCAGCCCAGGTTTTAAAACTTAAGAGAATATAGGTAAATAATATCAGACCTAAGGGTAGTAAAGTCATAAAAACAATGGCAGAAACAACAGAAAAAAGAAGTTTATATATTCAAGTACATACACCATTGAATTTTCGCAAAGAAAAAAAATGTTAAGGAAAATCAAAAATCTTAAAAATTATAGGGCCAAGCATTCTGACCTTAAAAAAATAAGGTGAGTATGTGTGTTTGTGTAGAACCTAATCAAAATGTGATCAAAGTGTATTAACCAATAATTTAGAGAAGAAATAAAAGTGCAGGTGAGTTGCAAACATAAACAACCTCAACCCCACCAGCAATTAAAGTACAAGGATAGCAATTTATTACTTGTTGAATCCCTAAACATTTCAAAGTGATTAGAATTCCTTTAATGTGAATGGTAACATAGGCAGTTGGACATACTGCTCTTGCTAATGTATATTGTTATGAAGTGATCTGAGAAGCATTTGGGTAACATGTATCTGGCCTCTAGCAATTTGTTCTAATGAAATCATCAGTGGACAGAATGAAAGACAGGTGTATGGATGTTTACCATGTTCTTATTGAAATAAAGAGCAAACAGCAAGGAACTTGAAATGTCACCTTTTACAGTAAAAAAATTTAAACAAAGCTACACAACTAAACGACAAGTTAATGAGTCATCAGACATTATTTCTGCAGGGAATTATTAGCTAAGAAATATCTTTGTGATTAGCTGGCGACCTGCAGCTGCAGTCTGGCCACAGAGTTTCCCTGTTACAGTAAAGTCAGGCTGCCATTCCCTTAAAAAATGCAAATCTAGCAGCTGTGGGTAAGTGCCCTGGAAAAAGCTTGTTCATAAAAATGTTGAGCCAATTATAAATTATAAAAATGTGAAATATAAGGAATATATATATAGAAACTGTTCCCTTATCCAAATTTCTCATTACTGTTCCTTTTCCCCTTTAAAAAGCCAGCTCTTGCTAAGACTTCTGCATTGGAAGTGAACTAGCTATAAGTAGGTTCAGGGTTATTCATTCACATTTACCCTCAGTTTAAGTATACACTCTTTTCATAAGAGAATGAAATCAGATCTGAAAGCAAGAAATAATAAATCCCTGAAACTTAGATTTAATCAAGGTGAGGTTTGAACGTTCAGAATTTCTTGAACAGCATGCCTTAGCTTGCCATCACCTACTATGCAGAGTGTAGGTCCTAGAAAAATAAGCTGTTTTTCTTGGTTTTGGTCTTGAGAAATAATCACAAGTAAGTGCTCTGGATTTCAAGCCTCTATCATATTCTCTGTTCTAGCTGTCTTATGGTTTGCTCTGGGTGGTGAATTTTTCTTGTTTTCTTTCCCTGTGAATGTATATGCATATGTATGTGTGTACGCATGTGTCTATGCATGTGTGTATACCTGTAATGTGTGATAAACAGAACATAAAGGTTTGTGTGATCAAGGGAATAAAGGATCATAAGTATGGAAGACAGAAGGTAAGAATGCTCTTCAAATTTAAATACAGTAACAAAAATAACATGCAGCTTTAGAAAGTATATCTAAAAAAAATGAAAGGATAGTTCATTTGTTGTGTTTACATACTATTTTAATACCTTACTTTTTAATGAGATTCTTTAAATAGTTAGCAACTTTAAATCTGGCTTTAATTTCAGGGCGCTATCCCTTTCACAGCATTAGCCAACTAAAAATACCAGCCCCTTCATTTGATTTTTTTCCTTTCTTGTTTTCTTGTTGGTATGAGGGTCCTGGGGGCTATGACTGTGTCCTCAAGGTACAAGCCGCCAGCTGCAGACATGCTCGCTCGTGTACTAACCTATAGCTAAAGAGTATAGATGTTTTCCTATGGCAAACAGTAGGCCAAAGACTTTATGGAAATTATTTAACCCAAAGTCCTGTGAGGCAGGTACTGTCTTTATCCTCATTTTAATGTTGTGAGAAATGAGCCTTAGAGCAGTCTTTAAATGTTGGCAAATCACTAGCTGCAGATAAGTCGCCTCCAGGCCCTAAAGCTGACCAAGGCCTACTCTGTGCTGTCCAACATGTGCCAGCCCGCTGTTCTGCCTGTGACTGTGGCCTCCAACTGCCTCTTTCCCTGTTTTATCTCTGGAGCATAAAGGGTTATGGCAGTTGAACTCCATAACCTGTGGGAATCCACTTGCTGGCCAGTTGCATCTGGAGATGACCGTGGCCTCCGAGCTGTCAGGGAGCAGGGACATCGGGCCTGGTGGTTGCCCAAGTTCCTGCCAGCTCAGAGCCTTTGTGAATACAGTCTGTTGTCCTTTTTTCTGCTTCGTGGAGCTTTCTCTTGTGAAAATACACCAAGTGTGTCCTGCTTGCTTTCCTGAAGTTTACATTAAGTAAAAAAAACCTGGCTTCATTGTAGAGTTTTTGTGGTTGCCTTTTAAAATTGCTTTAGCAAGCACCTGTTCTGGACCAGATGCTGGACAGCGCTCACCCCTATGTTTGGTGGGCAGACGCCGGGTCTCTGATGTCCATAGTAGTCACATGATGACCTCTTTGTTCCCAGTGTGTCTGTTGTTTTGGATGAGAGTAAAAACTTTAGTTCATTGCAAGGCCCAGTTAAATAAACACTTACGCACTATAATTTGGGATTCAGTGGGATTCTGGAGCAGAAAGAGTCCAGGTCTTTGCTTTGGTCTTCATTTGCTTTGGGTGAGGTAACCCATTCCTGTGCTGTAAGTGTGTAGCGACTGGAGGGAAAACCTGTCTCCATACTAGGAATTTCTGCCCGCTTGTCCTATAATTGTCTCCCCTGAAGCAAGAACTGTGGGAACTTGACATTAGAAACCACGTAATACCAGCATCTGAAAGTTAGAATGGTGGACGTGTCAGTTCTGTGCTACCCTAGAAGTGTGCTGCTGCGCCATCTTACACCGGATTCCTGTCTGGACCAGCAGGTACTGGTAGCAGATTAGGGGAGGGTTGGGATGTGATAACTAAGTTTTGCAAATTAGGAAGAAAAAGACTGCTCTGAAGCAGTGGGAGCAGTGATATCTGGCGCACTGCTGAGAGGGCTCTGTGATCGAAGGATCCCGTTTGCAGGTTCTCATGAGTTTTCCTCAACTGACTAGAAAATGAGAGTGGAAAAGAAAAGACCTAGTTTTTTCTCTGACTCTCTATAGGAGTTTCATCTCTCTCTTTGTGTGTGAATACAGAGTTCACACATCTTTTCTTCATGGTAAGAACAGAATTGTATACTGCACTTGTTATTCTCCTCAGAGCTCATCTTTTCGGAGAAAAATACCATCGGGTTTCATCCATTTTTTTCTGTTTGCTTTGTCCACTTTACCTACTGCTTTTTAAAGAGAGTTCTGATTAATTATACTGTTTCAAAAGTTTGTAAATCTTTTCCATCAATGCATCCAAGTGTCTCTTTAAAATCAGAATGGCCCATGCTGGGCTATGGGAATAGATTACCAGATCAACTTTCTCTCTCCATTCTTAACTTTGTGGTTGAGTTTTTTAACCCTGCATCCATAAGGTGAGTTATGTAGCTCTTAGTTATTGTTAATTGTTTTTGCTACTGTCTTTATTATCAGTCTTATTAATTTTTTAAGTCCAGTGTAATAATTACTGTCTTCTTTATATTTCCTAAAATGTCCATAGACCAGTTATTCTGTTCTTATATTTTGTTATATAATACCTCTATTTAAAAAGTTTTTGATTATCAAATTTGATCAGTATTGTCTCTAAAGACAGTATTTTTTGAAACATACTTGTGTCTTGTTTTGTACTAGAATATAAGAATATAAAACAAAATATAATGTCTTAAAAAAACAAACTGGATTTTGAGAGAGTTTAAAGGTTAGTTAGGTTGAGGATTGATTGTTCATCTTGCTGAATTCTTGAATGCTGTTATGTGGTAAATGTTACTATTCTAGAAAGTAAAATAAAATCAGAAAATGCAACTGCAGGTAAAGGGTTGAGAAAGTGAACTTTTGCCTAATTTTTAAAGCCCAAATATTCTAAAAAAAAAAAAAAGCAGAGAGTTGGTGAGGGCTTTTAAAACACTGATTTATTTAAAAATGTCAAAAATTAGCTTAGCAAAAGGTCACTTGATCAGTTGACAAGCCACATTGAGACTATGAGACAGTTTCCACAGGTATGCAGTGTGCAGCCTCCCTCACTAGGCTTTAAATGCTAAGAGTAGAGAAACCCCATAGGACAAAAGGACACGAGACTTGGTCATTTCCGCCACCCTGTGGAGTCTCGTAACAATTAAGTAACTTGCTCTGGTAACAAGCTGGTTTGTAACCATGGTCATGTTTAGTCATGTTTGACACGGTTTTCTCCCTTAGTTTTCTTTTTATTTAACAATACATTTAACCAGTTTCTGCCACAGGCATGTTGTTAGGCTATACTCAGAAGATGATACAAAATAACCAGTATTTTTTGAATGAGAGATGTCATCGTTTATATTAATGTTTTACAGTGCTTTTAGCTTTTCCTTATCAAATGTGTTTTCCTTAATCATCATGTGATAAACTTTGCAATTCCCAACTTCCTCATTTTGTAGTATTTTGTACTTACTTAGCTCACCAGTTTCTGAAATATAAACCCACAAGACTTACTTAGAATTAAAATGGATATTATAACTACAAAAATAAATGCTAGATGATTCTCTTATAGATTGCTCTTTTAGTAAAATTGTGTATTACCTTTGTTATCTCTTGTCAGATGTGAATAAGAGTGGGTTTTAAAACTTGGTTTTGAGGGGCTTGTTTTTTGATCCTTATTACTAAAAGTAGTTTTTTGTTTGTTTGTTTGTTTTGATTTGCAGCTGGTTTCAGAAGAAGCTTCCGTCTTAGTAGAAAAGACAAGAAAACAAACAAGTCCATGTATGAATGCAAGAAGAGTGACCAGTATGACACGGCCGACGTGCCTACGTATGAGGAAGTGATGCCCTACCGGCGCCAGACCAACGAGAAGTACAGGCTGGTGGTCCTGGTTGGTGAGTGTTTGTTTCTCTGTGTGGCTCTGCAGAGAGAGGCAACATTCTGAGAACATAACTTCAGAGAGAGAGCGATTCTTGACGTTTGCAAGCCAGAGAGTCTACGCTGGATCCTTTCGTTTGTTCTCAGAATGAACTTAGTCTTTCCTGATCATTTCTGTTGGCCTCTCTTCTAACACAGCAGACTCAGTGGAAGCTATTACTCATAATTCTTTTTGTCACACTAGATTACATATTAAATACAAGTAAATAGTATGTCCTATGTCTCTATTTGAAAAATAGAGAAAGGAAGTCATGTAAAAATGTTCATTGTATGAACACTCCTTAATAAAGGGTCATTTGAAGGCAGAATCTGGTAAACTAGTTAAAATCAAGAATGCATGTACAGGTGGAAGCTGGAAAATTCATTTCACTGGTGTCGCTGACTGATCCCCACCTGCACTGTGGTCTTCCGTGGGGCTGACATTCCACAATGGGGTCCACTGGCCTTGGTGAAACTGTCCTTCAAAGGTGCTTCCTGTACTTGCTTTCTTCTGCTTGTGAACATCCACTTGAGGTATCCTCAGGCTACTGTTTGGATGGATAGCAAGCTGTGATATCCCACGAGGAAGGGTAGTGTGGATTGCTAAGAATTGGGCCTCAGGGGCACCGCAGGCTGCATTGTAAAGCTGTGTGTTCTTCAGTAGCTGGGTGAATCCGGCACATTTTCCTTTTTTCCTGGGCTTGCTTCTTTAGTTGAACAAAGCAGAAGACACTAAGAGCACTGTCTTTGTTGGATAGATAAATGAACCGGTATTTGCACACTTAGACCTAATAATGTTTTAATAAAAGATAGTTCTATGTAGTAGCTAAATCTGAGAAGATAATCATGGCATACCAATGTAGTCAACTGTGAGTTGACTTCTGCTGATTTCAAGGTTCAGTGTTCAAAACACTTGTAAATGAAGTAAGTGACCAGTGTATCATCTAAAAGAGGTATTCGGACAGTGGACTTGCATTGTGGAAATCCTGGACTGTTTTCAAATGAACTGTTTATTTTTCCTGATTGTAAAAATCATTGTTTAGGAAACAGCTCCTGGGCTCCCACAGCATGTGTGAGAACATGGAAGGAGCAAAAGCAGCATGGTGTCCCTCAAACTGAAGTTGTTCTTTCCTAGAGTGTTCAAAATCATTCAGAATAATTGTGAAACAGATAGATACATATTAAGGAGGTACACATAATATTGGATTATTTTTATTCTTGGACTTCATGTTCAGTCTGTTAAAATAAACCAGATTATTAATATGGCAAAAATATGACCGCGGGGAGCTTTGAGCCCTGATCAGAAAAATGATTTGCTCTTCCTTTTATAAAAGTGTTACCCTAGGGTCACATTTTAGCACTAAAACATCTCGGTGATGATACGTTATATTCCCTTCCACCTTTAAAAGTATTTTCCAAAAAGCATGTTAAAACCAAATGTTAGGTATTTAGTATGCTGTTCTAGGTGAGGGCCGTGAAGATGGGGCCCCGCTCAGCAGACTGGGCTGAGAGCTTGTGCTCTCCTCAGTCCATGAACCCCTGGCCAAGTGGCATCTGATGGCAGCCTTGTGAGAAGCTGACCGCTTGGGACTTAATGCTCCTCCAGCTTTTGATTTTAATCTGTTTTTTGCTCCCAGTCTCTGAATGATTCATTGTGACTCTCAACCCAGTTATTTTCTTTGAAAGCAGGGTTCAAAAATCTTTAATTCTTCACAGCGTTTACTGTATCTTTGCCTTGGTCATTGTAGTGTTTAGTATGTAAGGGTTATGGGTTGATTAGTTTAAATATGTAAGCTTTATGCAAGCTTCCAAATACTTAAGGAGCAAGGAAAATATACAGGGTACGAAAGGATCTTGGCAAATATAACTGTGGCTAATGATTTTGAATATTTAACATGCATAATTAGATTTCCATCTAAAGTAAAATCGGGGTTCAGAGGCTTTCTTTTATTAAGATCTAAAAACATTTCACATGGAGTATTATGACTCTCCAGACTTGTAATGAAGGCTTGTTAGGTGCACCTACTCTTTCAGCTCTCTGAGTACCATTACTTAGTAGTAACATACTCAGGTACACTTGAGTACATTTCATTTAAAGCATAAATATTTCTAGCCCTTTTCATGAAAAAGTAGGGATTTAAATTTAAAAATTAAAATAGCAACAGAAGCCCCCCAGCTTTTTCGTGTGTGCCCCTTAACTACAGATGATCTTTTTCACGTGGTGTGCACAGGTGTAGGTGTGTTCTCCAAGTTATGAAGTGCTGTCACTTAAAGAAAGTCGTGTGGTGTTTTGGTTAGTCATGGGTTTCTGCTCCCTGTTTCCAGGTCCTGTAGGAGTGGGTCTGAATGAACTGAAGCGCAGGCTCCTGGTCAGCGACACGCAGCACTACGGTGTGACTGTTCCCCGTAAGTCCTCTCCCACTGCGCTGGCGGCGGCACAGTATTCCTGTGCCCGAGAACTGAAGTGACAGTCTCTGCCTGTCTCAGGGAAAGAAGCCAAGGCCTGGGCGTTAGGAGAGCTGTTCAACAATCTGTGTCAACAGATCATCGACAAAATACTCGTTCATCACAACATCTCTACTCTCCTATTCTTCAGGCAAATTTCAGTTAACAAATGGCATCGGATTATTATTGACAAATTTTCTACTAATAAAAGTAAAACTATTCTATTTCCTAAAATAAGTGTTAATGTTTTCCAGAGTTTTCTACCAGCTTTAAGATTAAATGAACCAAACCACAGAGAAGTGGAGAGGACTACTTATATATAAACTTTTCTTAATTACTTTTTATATGTAGTAATTGGCAGGTAGTGTTAACTGGTCCTTTCATGGCTATATAATCCAAGTATGGCAGGTTTCTTCAGTACACCGAATTAGATTCTATTTTTATAAAAGTGGTTTTCACAGGCATTCTTACAAATGAAATGAGATGCTGGAAGCATTTTGATCTCCAGAATAAATGCCATTTGACTACTTAATATGTTGATGTTAGAAAGTCATCTAAAAGACTAAATTGAAATGTTGGCTTTTTCAAGTGGTTTTAGTACTTGTTAAAGTCGTTTGTATATTGCCCTGAGCAATGTTCTCCAGCTTTGGAAGATTTCAACTTTATTTTAAGATTATAGCTTTCTATTACCTCAAGTTACTCCTTGTTACTACATTTTTCCAAATTATTGTTTGTAATCATTTTCAGCCATACATTATAGCACTGCTGGTTTCCACCAGCAGAGATGAAAGTAAAGGAAAATGTGGAAATGTGTGATTAGTTTTTCATTCTTTTTTCCCTTTAATGATTCACTTCTCTTACAACTTCAATCTATAGGTAATTAGAAAGTTTTACAAAACAATTGTTAAGTTTACAGGTGAGCAATTACAAAAGGAACCCTGAAGATGGAAAAACAGATTCTAGTGGAAAAACATTAATTTTTTTGGGTATTTATTAATGTTGTCATAATGTACTTCATCTTCCTTTCCATAGAATGCAATGGGAGATGCCCCCCTTCCCCAGAGGAGGAGATGGGGTAGGAAGTTCCTGTGACTTACTCAGAGTTCAATAGGTGACAGTCACCTGTGTGCAGACTGGCCTGTCCTTGCTCCTGTAGAACACTACCTGCTCCTTTCAACTATAGTTTTTACTGTTAGCCCATCAGTAGTACAAAACCAATTTCTTTTGAAGATGGTCAGTCCCCGTACCTTAGTTTATCAGAACCCTCTGTAAGAGTCTGATACTACCCAAGGACCAAGGGCAAGGTACCCTTTCGTTTTCAGTTTATCCAACTATTAAAATAATAGCTTGCTCAGAAGTTGTTACAGCAACCAACAATAACAATAACCAGCCATCCATAACTTGGCTATTGTAGTTGTATGGCATGGAAGTAAGACTACCAGAGGGGCGGGTGGAATAGGGAGCACCTTGGAATAGATAGTGGGTAGTTGGGTCTTTGAGGGTCGGGCCCGGTGGAGTGACATCTGGAGTGCCGTGTGTGAACCTATACATACCCCTAAATCAGAGGCAGTGTTGTAAAACAATGTTACCTCAATAAAAAATGATACAACTAAAATAAAGTACAAATAAGTACTAAGAAAAAAATGGTTACTGTGGTTAAATATGATATTCAATATTTTACTTCAACAAATTTTCTTTTAGGAAGTAAGCAGTCGCCAAAGCCTGTTTTCTGTCTCATTTACTGCTTTGGGGAAATTGCATCCTTGATAAACAACATCAGTGTTGTTTTAAGGCTAGAGGCTATGAGCGACTCATCTGAGTGACTGTATATAACCAGACTTTCAAAAGGATGTCTCAGTAAATTAAAATAGTTAACAGCAATCCAACAGTTAACAAGTATTGTCCTAGGTATCAGATACTTGATGGATTCCAGGGTTCTTACCTGGATAACAGTGAGAGGCCTGCCCTGTGCTAAGCCTGCACATCTTTCCCATAACTCCTTCTCAAGAGTTTTCAGATCTCTTATTCACGATTCCTCATTGTTACTGACCTTTTGAGAGTCTCATGCTATCTCACTGCAGCCGAATACTAGCATTCTTCAGTAGTAAAATTGCATCAGACTGAGGTAATTTAGCTTAATCATAATGAGCAAATAATTAGGTCCGATATTTTCTGTTCTATTATAACTCAATAGCAAATAACTAGATAGACTTACTGAAAGTTTGGAAACTTGGTAATATTCCAAGAAGATGTTTATAATTTTGGAAAAGAGCAATGAATAGCACATAAAGGCCTTTGGCTTTTTTCAGTTATTCAGACAAGGAATTGATGGTGTGCCTGCTGTGTGCCGGACAGGGAGATGGCGAAGTAGTTTTAGAGTTTACTTTAGAACCTAATGGAGACTAGACTTATTTCAGTGGATGAGAATCAGTAAATCATGTTAGTAAGCATGTTATTTGCAAAAGAAAGGAGTTTTCCACAAGAGTGTAAATATATTTAATTACGATACCAGCTTTCAAAATGATGAATAGCACAGACACAAGTGCAACTTAATTTTGTGTCCATCTTCAAATCAACATCACTTGAATTTGTTGGAAAATATGAAGTAATATAGCTTACTGTATTTTATTAGCTAATTTTATGTAAGTCTTAAGATCTTGTTTAAGAAAAATGCATGTCAATTTGTTAAGTGTTCTTATTAAGGTGGTTGCTATCAATGTTTCTGAACTCTTTTTTTTTTTTTTTTTAAAGATTTATTTATTTATTCATACAGAACTGGGGTACAGGCCAGAGGCTCAGGGGCGGTGAGAGGCTTCACCAGAGACAGAGTGGGGAGCAGAACAGGCAGATCGACGAAGTACACTGCTGAGGGGAGCAGCGGGCGGGTCAGGAGAGGTCTGGCTCGCCATGTGGTCTCCTCCGGGGCAGGCGGCAGGCGGGAATCGAACTCATGCGGAAGTGGCTTCAGATTCTCAGTGCTGTGCTTTAACCCGCTGCGCCACCAGGGAGGGCCTCTGAACTCTTTTTAATTAAATTCCAGACACCACCAGAGCAAGAAGAAGCCAGGAGAGTGATGGTGTTGAATACATTTTCATTTCCAAGCATTTGTTTGAGACAGATGTGCAAAATAACAAGTATGTGGAAGATGTTAAAGAATTTGCATGTGACTATTGTTTTTAAGCAGGTTACTCTATGTCTCATTTTAGGTAATAGAGGGTACCCTTCCATTTGAAATGTATTTTAATTTTTATAATAATTGAAACTGATAAAAGCTGATAACTCAAACAGTAGTTGTTAGGAGTATTGGTCTGTAATTTTTAAAATTACCTGGAACTATTTTTGCTGGTAAATTAAATGCTTAGGAATTATTCTGAAGAATGTGGGAAGGTGGCTCGTGTGCTGTTGTGATCCCTGTCCAGTTCATAGTTGAATCTTAACATAATTTGGATAAAGTATGATGTTAAACATTAACAACTTTGTAACAGATCCCTATCTGTTCATTCTTCTGCGCACACACACACCCTCTCCCTGGCTCTTTTATGAAATGAATAATGTTAATCGTCTCGCTTGCAAAAGAGTTCTGTAGCTAGCTTCAGTTCCCTCTCACCAGGTTTTCCATTTGCTGAACCATGAATATTTCAGAGTGTCAGGGAGCAATGCGTGTTTTAATGTAGGATTGTGGAATTTTATTGAAACATCAAAATGCTTTTTTCAAGTTTGGCGCAGTGATTGCATTTTTATAGCACATAATCTGCTGCCTTGGTTCCATTAGCCACCACACAGCTCCTCCTGTAGTTCTAAAGCTGCACTTGGTTATTCTGTAGTGTGCAGTGAAATTTCAGTAGTTTCTATTGTTTGGCTTATTCACTGTTTTATTGCATTGCATTAGTTCTGAAAAAGAGGTGATGGAAAACATTAGAGTCCTGCTGGACTAAAGTACTTTTTTTCTGCTTAACTGTAATACAAGCAAGTGTTACTGATTTGAGAAAGTAAAATAGGAGATTTTTTAAAATTGACATTCTGAAGTGCTTGGCCCTGCTTATTTTATTAGATGGTAAAAAATTATATGTTCAGCAAAAATATCTTTCATACATATGAATTATGTCTTGCATATCTCTATTTAATTCACAGATGATTCTGATGCATGTCTGATTTTCTGCAGGTTTATTGAATATGGTGAATATAAAAACAACTACTACGGCACCAGCATAGACTCAGTTCGGTCTGTCCTAGCTAAAAATAAAGTTTGTCTGTTGGATGTTCAGCCTCATGTAAGTAAACTATGTTCTATTCAACAGCCTGTGTAGTTTCTTGTATTTCTTGTGAGCCTTTTAATATCAGGCAAACTTGAAGTCTACCTACTTTTGGCTTATATATGGTTTTCCTAAGATGACAAGAGCATTTCAGTGCAATCTAAGATAACTTTGGTGAATTAGAAAAGGTTTAGAAATTAGAGACCTGTGTTTAACTCTTACATATATTCTGTCACTACCAAGAATATCTACTTCTTCTATACCGTTTTAAAAAAGACATTACACGATGTATATAATGTATTCTTACATGTGATGTCATTATAAATATTCATGATTTTTAACAATGTACATTTGGTTCTTGGTCCTCCTCCTTTGATTTTAGTTCTGGGTATATCCTAGGTGTATAACCTCCCAAATAATATGGGGGGCATTCACAGGAATTGGCCCACATGAGGGCCTATCTTAGCTGTCGGGCTGCACTCCTGGTGTGGTGGGGTCTTCTGTGAACTCTGAAAGTGAGAGTGGAGAAAATCATTCAGTTCCCTGTCATGCCACAATTTCTCCAGCAGAAATTCAAACCACAGCACTTTCTTGTCACTCAGAGGCCACAGATTCTCCCTCTAATGGTTGCACCCAAAGGTGCACAGCCTCAGGCTACCAGCATGATCTGGAAAACCCTTCATTCCTCTGAAGAAAGATAAATCTGGAGGAAGAGTCGCAGGAACCAGCAGCACTGGCTCTTAGCTCAGACCCCGCTGTGGGTGGGCCGCTCGGCTGTGGCAGAACCTCCCCACTCCTGCGCTGGGCCCAGTTGTTGCCGACTCCCTCGGCGTGGTGGAAAGTTTACGTTAGCACGGCCTCACCAGCGCCTCGTCCCGTTACCCCACGCCTAACACCTTATCCATCTCTCCCACACGTAACCTGTCCGCCCCGCCTTTCAGTGGAGTTTATGATTTATAGTCATCTTCTGGAGAGGTCCTGGCTCGTAGTTTGAGAATAGCCTTCAACTCTCACCCTCCGTTGTCAGCCACCATTGGTCATAGACGTGTCCCAGAAGCGTAGTGTAGATAACATAAAGCACTCGAGGTGGAAATGCTGACAAGCTTCGTGGAAAGCAAGAGGCTGAGGGTAGAATGAAAAAAAGAACAGCCTGAGTCTGCAATCAGGATGAGGCTGGGGTGGCCGTAAGATATTTGTGCAGTGAACCCGTAGCGTCTTTCAGGTATTTGATTTAAAAATCAATTTTATGGTATTTTAAAGCCACTTCTGTTCAATATTAATTATGACATATTTCAAAACACCTTTTTAAAGTAAGTTACGTTTTCCATCTCTTTAGGGGGATTTATTAGACTTAATCGTCAACAACTGATTGAATAATATATTTAAAGACCTACCGACTGCCTAGAAAATAATTTTTTAAAGATTTATTTATCTATGCATACAGAACTGGGGTACAAGCCAGAGGTGCTGGGGTGAGAGGAGTCACTAGAGACAGCGTGTAGAACAGAACAGGCAGATAGATGAAGTACACTGATGAAGGGAGCAGCCGGCAGGGCAGGAGAAGTCTACTGTGCCATGTGGGTCACCTTCCTGGCGGAGATGGAGCTTGTGCTGAGGCAGCTGTGATGAGCTTCTGAGTGCTGTGTTTTAACCCATTGCATCTCCAGGCAGGGCCAATTAGAAAATAATTTTAAGGAAGAAAAGTCAATTTTATTATGAAACTCATTCATGATAGTATGAAGAAATGTAAGAAAACTTATTTTCTTCCTTGCAGACAGTGAAACATTTAAGGACACTAGAATTTAAGCCCTACGTGATATTTATAAAGCCTCCATCAATCGAGCGTTTGAGGGAGACAAGAAAAAATGCAAAGATTATTTCTAGCAGAGATGAACCCGCGGCTCCGAAGCCCTTTACAGTAAGTGTGAGGCTGCTGGGGACAGAGGGCAGCAGTGCACTAGCAGTGGCAGTGGCAGCTGCTGTGGGAAAGCTGTGACGGATGGCCATTGGTCCCGAAATTCTGAAAAGATAGACTGGATTTAGGTGGGACATCCCAGTGGTTACTCTGTAATTACTTTTTGTGGACATTTATATGACACTGATTAAAAGCTATTCATATGCCATTATGCAAACTTACATCAATATGAGAGCAATTAATTTTCAAACTAGCCTTTTTAAAATGGAGAAAATTTTGTTTTTAAGCGAAGTATACTCTACTTTTAGATCAAAAGTAAAAAAGCAAAGAAATACCAAGAGCATTTTCTTCTCCTCTTTTAATTAATTCATCATTAGCTTAATTTGTAAGTGATTGGTTTTGGTTGCCAGTATTTGACACATACCTTTTTTCTAAAATACTAACATTCATATCCACACTGAACAGGTATTGTCACATGCTATTAATTACTAAGGGCTTTTGATTGACGTTGAAGTTAATTTTCTCTTGTGAATTCTTCTGTGACATTGAGATGTTGACTCTGAAATTGCTTCAGTATGTTGCAGGGTAAAGATTTATTTTATTATAAATTTAAAAGTTTTTCAGTGAAAATAATAAATGATGGCATTCTTAGGGCTTGACTCACTGACACAGTATATGATCATATATTCTTAAATCCTACAACAAACTAAAATGTTCCCTGTTTCCAAAAGCATGTAAAGGACCCCTGAGCCAGTGGCGTCTGATGATGCATAGAGAGGACATAAACTGGCCTTTTATGGCTGTGCTCAACTCTGAACAGCTACTTTACATTTTAAATTTCTTGTGATGAACAGTCATAAATAATGTAACCAAGGGATCAGAGTGAGCAGGTCTGTCCTCCTTCCCCCAATAGCTATTGAACACTGAAGTACAGTAAATTGGTTGCCTGTCCTGAAGTTCGTGTCAGGTGTGACTTTTGACTTTGGTCAGAGCAGTGCAGTTTAGCTACAAGTCAGTCACCAAGATTCATTAGAAATTACGACTTTTAGAAAACTTGTAGTTAAGGAGGATAGTTTCCAGTTCTGTTTGAGGTAAATGAGTGAATACTGTACAACACTAGGTCGACCAGTTGTGTAATGTTGGCATTGCTATGAGGTGATGGAGTTGCCTGGTTAATTGTTTTTTTTTTTTTTAAATACTTTGTTTTGTAAGGAAGAAGATTTTCAAGAAATGATTAAATCTGCACAAATAATGGAAAGCCAGTATGGTCATCTGTTTGACAAAATTATAATAAATGATGATCTCACCATGGCATTCAATGAGCTAAAAACAACATTTGACAAATTGGAGACAGATACCCATTGGGTCCCGGTGAGCTGGTTACATTCATAACTAAGGAAAGTTTCTGTACTCATATTTTTTGCAGAGTGCATGATTAAATCAACTTCCATTTTGGTGACTGGGACTTTTTTTTTTATCTACATCATAGTCAATAGATGTGCAATCTGTTAAATTTGATGTTGGTTTGTTTGTAATTTTTTCAAATATAGCATTTGAGTGTTAGCTCCAAAATCAGAATTTGCTGTGCACTGTATTCTGAACAAAGCATTAAGCCTCCATTAAGTCTTTCGGATGTAGCTTTTTTCTAAGATGAAGTGAGAGAGAGTGAGCTAGGGAATATATGCTGGAATTCAGTACTTCCACTGGTCTCAGACATCTGCCATCAAGTCTGTATATTAGTGGTTGTAGGTGGTGTTAACCTGACAGCCTAGAACATCTTCTGTTAGAAAGCTGTTTTCTGGGTGTGTCATTATAGACTAAGGAGGAATCCTCTTTCTGTTCCAAAAGTGCAGCCTTCCTCCTATGCATACACAATACTCATGATATATGCATTTAAAAACCATCAGAAATTACCAAAAATTTGCCTTAGTGTAAGTGGTCTTGGAATATTATGAAGACCTTATGAATACTTATCAGTGACTTAACACATTTAATAAGGGAAATCGACTTTAAAAAATAGTATATATCTACCTAAAATTTTTTCCTGACTGTGTCAGATTTAGTAAGCCTGGCACTGTCTTGGAGCAAATAATAATTACAAAGGCCACTTCTGTTGGTAAATCCTCATATGACAAATTTGGTGTCACCAAAAAGTTGTTTGTTTTTTAACTAACTGAATTTCCCAGCAAACTATAAAAATGTGATTATTATTCTAAAAGTTACTGATACAGTTATGGAAAATGTGATCATTTTCAAATATGTGCAAACTGGACACCATATATTTAATTTGCAATAAGATATATTTTAGAAAACTTTTCATACAATGTTAACTTATTTTTCATCTTCATAAAAATTCTTAAAATTGACAGATACCATTGTAACCTTGGCATTTTAAAAGAAGTTTAATAAGAATTCCTACATTGTAAATATTTAGATGGGATCTGTCAGTTTTCTTTGATACTACAAATCATTAGCAAACAAATTATATCATTCAAAATACTAGACATGTCTGTAAGTTGTATAAAATGTCCTGCCATTCTTGCATGTTGTAAGACTTGCCAATCTTGAATCATTGCATCTGTGAGTTGCAAACAGAAAAGATTATTTTTTGTTGATTTGTAAAGAGAGTTTAGATGTTATGTTTAAAAAATAGAATGTAGTGAAATTTTATATATTTATGAAATATTTGAAAAGGCATATTTTTTAAATTATCAAATGGGCTCTTCATAAAATAAATTGATTATATGTAAAAGTGTCATACTTTAAAATAGTAGTTTTTTAAGTCAGGGTCAACATTCCATGTAAATACTTGACTTTTCTTTGTACACAGAAAGGTGCACGTGTGTATTTGTATGCACCGCTCACTGGCTAACATTAGCCAGTGGGCTTCTTGTGAGACAAAGGTAAATAGGACTCCCACGGCTTGATACACCAAAGTAGATAATCTGACTTAATGTTGTTTAACAACATAATCCAAATGAGTTTTAAGTCTATTCACCAAACAGTAAGCCATTTAGTGTTTTAAAAGTGGGGGAAGGAGAAGGGTCTTCATAGCTGAGACAAGCTTTTAAGTTGTGTTGCTGGTCTTAGAAACCAAGTCTTACATAGATGGTTTGGAAAGAATGTTCTCCCCTTTGAATACTGACTAAAATTACCTACAAATCAAGACTTCTTGTAATGGGAAATGTAGAATATTTAAACATTCTACATTCTTCATTTTGGAGAATTTACATTTTTTTTTTCATTTGAAATAACTGCCTATATTCTTTACTGTAGAAACAGTGGGAAGTGGTCAAGACAAACCTTTTTGTTGATGGTCTAAGTGATAGGAGTGTTAAAAAATATATAACTTCCAGACCTTTGCTCCCTCTCTAAGCTAGAGATGAACCGTAATTTTAAAATAAAAAAGGGGGCACTTTGGCAATTTGAGAAATCTTTTCCCAGATAGCGTACATGGAGTCACAGTGATGTTTACATGGCCATCTTGATGCTTGCTGTTAGAAAGACTTGGTTAAAATTTAATAAGGTGGGCCAAGAGCTTATTGATAGTTGCAGCATAGGACCCTTCATTCTGTACTTTGTTCACATCCAGCCTCCTCCTCCAGTAGAGACAAGGTCTGTGTGTCCTTCACTGTGCTAGATCTTTGAGCAGCCTGCCCCCCAGCACAGTGTCAAGCCACTCTCTGAGCGAAGGGTGAATGTTGGTTTTCAGTACATATATTTAAAATTCAAGATCACCAAGGGAATTCTGACTTTCCATGAATAACAGATTATAGTCAGCTAAAAACAAAGAGTTGAAATTGAAATACCATTTCTTACATTGTTTTGCTTACTGATGTAGATGCTCTTGAGATCTTTAAGACTGACTTCTCTGTCATTGTGTCATGATTCAATGAGCCTAAATTGTAATTACTTAAAATCAACAAACATGTAAACTTCTCAGTTTTACAAAATTTGTGAAAAGTTTCCCAAAGATAGAGATTTTATTTATTTATTTTTTTGACTAGTAAGGAATTATAAATACATGTAATAGGAAACCTTTGCTTGTAATAAAGTATCTTCAAAGTATGTTTTAAAATTTTTTGTACATGGTTATCTGTTACGCTGTTCACCATGGTAAGACAAATCTGTTTTCTGCTCATAGCTAGTGATTTATTTGAACTTGCTCTGTCTAAAGGTAAATTTTGTATTTGTTTCATTTATTAGTTTCATCAAGGTTCTCAAACAGCTGGAATGCACTGTCTTTCTCTTCCCATACAGTGTAGTTATCTACAGTGGTCAAGAATCATGGTGGCCTGGATGGTCCTCAGTTGGAGTGTGAACTAATTCTTACTTTTAGCCACAAAATGCAATAGAATCATTGTGAAAGAAATGTGCCTTCATTATATTAATGCCTTCTACCACCACACTTTCTTTCCCAGTTTTTGCTCAGATACAGTTCAACAACTGAGTTCAAAATATATTTTGCTTTTATAACATCTAAATTAATGTGCACACACCTTTATAGGCTTAGTCACTGTCAGAGCAATATGTACTTACTAATCATCAAATATCTGTTTGATTTACACACATTATCTCATTTAACCTCTCAACTATTCTATATGAAAGATAGCTCCTTCATATTTACAGTAGAGAAAATTGACGGCAGGGCTTCAGTGCCTTTCCCAAGGTGACGATGGTGAGTAAGTCTGCAGTCAGAGTTTGACTCTTGGTCTGGTTTCCTCCACTCCATGCTGTTTTCACTGTTGTGCTTCCTAGTGTTGTTATAACTTGAGCCAAAGCCAGAAACAGGTGAGTAGAGGGATGAACATTCAATCTTTTTCTACATGTGGTTTACAAGGAGTTTTCTGCAAATACTGTTGCTTTCCTCAGATACAACTTGATATATCTATTATTGTATGAGTAGGTTAATCTTCAAACAGTGACTAATAACAGAAGCATATAAAAACGTATGGCACTGGGCCCTCCCTGGTTGCGCAGTGGGTTAAAGCACAGCACAAAGAAGCTTAAGCCACTTCTGCATGAGTTCGATCCCCGCCTGCCCCAGAGGAGATCCACATGGCGAGGCAGACTTCTCCTGGCCCGCCCACTGCTCCCCTCAGCAGTGTACTTCATCGATCTGCCTGTTCTATGCCCCACTCTGTTTCTGGTGAATCCTCTCACCCTCTGCATCTCTGGCCTGTACCCCAGTTCTGTACGAATAAATAAAAAAAAAACAACATATGGCACTAATAGGCAGTTTTGTTTAGTCTGAGTCCCATCCTTAGCATTTAATCATAATTGGCCTGAGTCAATCTTGACAGCCTACTCTTTGCAGGCACATCTAAGTTGATCATACTACCTAATGCCAGGCAATTTCTACTGGAAGAACTATAAGAAAAATCTTGCTTCCCTGATTTAAAGTTGTAACTGAATGAATTGAAGATCTTTCTTTGATGATCCTTCCCCCATGCTTCTGTTGGAGTTGCTTGTATGTGAGGCTTTCCTGCCTGACAACATTAATCCTGACCCTAAACCAGAGGATAGTAAGGACCCATCTTTTTACTTTATGGCTAAATAATATTCCTCTGTGTGGGGGTGTGTACATAATGCATTTATTAAATCAATAATGGGATGTAATTATTTAGCCACAAAACAAAGGAAGCCCTAACTTGTGACAACATGGGAGGCCTTTATGACCACTATTCTAAATGAAATAAGTTAGACAAAGAATGACAAATACTGGATGTTCTCACATGTGGAACCTTAAAATGCTGAACTAGTAATAGTAGGATGGTAGTTTCTAGCAGCTAAGAGATGGGGGAATGGGCAAATATTGGGCAAGGGATACCAAATTCTAGATATTGGATAAATAAATTCTGGGTGTCTAGTGTATAGTGTAATGACAGTAGTGCTGCATTAAAAACTTAAAATTGCTACGAGACTAGATCTCTTGTTAGCAAAAAACTAATTATGTGAGATGACAGAGTTTTTGATTAACATGTGAATAATATTTTGTGATATATACGTTTATCATTTCATCATCATGGACTGACAGCGTATGTTTTACGTCAGTTATCTCAATAAAGTTGGAAAAATAATATTGATGGATTATCACTGTTAAATTGTTGTTTTGTTTTTCTCTGCTTCAACCACTTCTAATCAAAAGCTTTATTCATGAGCAACTCACATCACTGCCAGGATTCACTTTCACTCACCAGCGCTGGTCCTGTTGCTCAGCTGTCACATTCCCTGCTGAACTTTAAAACACTGTAGGGGTTATGGGACAGACTGAGCAAGAGACTCCATTTAAATTTTTTCTTGACTTCCACTCTTTTTCCTCGTTATGGATAAGAATTTAACTTTAAAACTCATTGGTGAGTCCTCCCTGGTGGCGCAGTGGGTGAAAGCACAGCACTAAGAAGCTAAAGCCACTTCAGCATGAGTTCGATCCCCGCCCTGGAGGTGACCACATGGTACAACAGACCTCTCTTGACGCGCTGATCCCTTCAGCAGAGTACTTTGACAGTTGGCCTGTCCTGCTCCCCACTCTGTCTCTGGTGAATCCTCTCACCGCCCCTGCACCTTTGGCCTGTACCCCAGTTCTGTATGCATAAATAACTAAATCTTTTTAAAAAAAAAAACCTCAAGTTTGCAGAAAGTTGTTTGGATTTACAAATTTATCATGGTTGTGAGTCTACCAGTTTGAACAAAGTAATATTTATTTAACTTGATTTGGACAAGAGTAATATCAAAGCGTTCCATCCTCTGAGACTTTCGCTCTGTATCAGACAGTATAGGAGCTTTTGGTAACCATAAAATACAGAAAAGATCTAAACAGAAGTATATTAAATATCCTTGGTTATAAAATAATTGCTAAAAATGTTAAAGAAGACATACATAACATAAAATAGTAACCTACAGAAACAGTGCAATTAGGGACCTGGGGACCTGGAGGATACCAAAACAACTGAAGATGGAAAAGGAAGGAAGCAAAAGAAATGTCCATAAATATGAGTTAAATTGCTATTTTTAAAAGAATTTGCAGTCACCTATAGGACTAAGAGAACTACAAAGAGGAATAAATAGGAGAACCCATTAAATGAGATGACAGAAACAAGACCAGGTGAATCTTACTGCAAATTTAAGTGGTATCAACTCATGTATTAAGAGACAGCTTTTCAGTTCTTTCCAAAACTGTTATTGATCATATGCTTCCAGAAGAGAACATTTAAGAGGATTGACCACGATGCCAGACCACAGGGGGGCACAAAAATAGTAGCAAAACTGACTTCATTGTTTGTCTGAGTAAAAAATCATTCTTTAGTAATCCATAGTAGAAGTCACAAAAGAAAGCAATAATGGTCAAGAGATGTAATCAACAAAACTACAATTTTTGGTTATTTTTAAGGCACTTCTGATAGACCCTGAGGGAAAAAATGAGAATAGAATGACCAAATACCCTAATTCTTACCTCATCTCATAGCATCCTTTGTCCAGTGAGCAGATTACTCTGTTCAAGGGTTCTTCAGAGTCCTGAGGTAGGCCACAAGGAGAACCTCATTACAGTTTGAATTTTTTAAATACTTCAAATTATGCTTTATGTCCAATAAAATTAAAAATGAATAACAGTAACCGAAGAAAGACCACCTAGAAAAATTTTTTAAATTTTAAAGTA